CCGGATGATGGTTCACAACGACCGTACATTTTTTCAACTGGTCGGTGGGACTTTCGTCCGTTTGTAACGCCATTTGTCAACGATTTATCATCGTCGCAAAGTGATTATTTATGATTTGCATGCACGAGGTGCTAAGTTGATGATATGATTATCAAGCTGCCTAATTGGCCACAGCTGCAATTTATTATGTATTCGAGTAGTGTCATTAATGTTCAATTATCTGCATTTGTACCCCGATTACACACATAAGATTTATGTTCAAATTTAAATTAAATAGTGCATATACTTAGGTTTCAACTTTGGTCAGATGAAAATTTCAAAACTTTGTATTACTATAAATTTAAATTTAATAAAATAAATAAAAATGTAAGCCCCACAAAACACCACCAACTTATTTACTTATTTAAAACAACGTAGGATCTTACAATTGAAATCAAAAAAATTCTGAAATGGACTGCTGCAGCTTCAAGGTATCATATAGGACTATCTACTTTGCAAAATTCACAGGCTTAAACATTTGACTTAACTACACAAATCATGATTAATTTACCAGCTCTCTGCTGAGTAGTGTTTGTCAGCTATAAAGATTCAGGCTGACAATAATAGCTATTTAAGTCTATCATACAAACGATTTTGTATGAGAATGTTGTTGTCATACCTGATGGTATTACTCTATCTCTGGGTCGCTAAAGCTTGCCACAAATGACCAAACGCTCAAGAAGGTAATAAATGCTTTCTAATGAAAAATAGTTACGGAAAAAGTGCGGCTTATACATAATTTGTGGCTCCTTCATGACAGAAGGAAGGAAGGTTTTTGTTGTAACGTACACCTGAAGGGTATAGAAGTAGATAAATTCTTATCTCGCTCTTTGTATTTTATATCCAGTTTTTTTTGAACCAAGAAAGAATATATCAGTCGAGCAAGCCCGACAGTTAGATACCCTATACCCAAACAAACTTCTGTCGATGTGTTATATGTGTAAATAGGCGTAGACGGCGAGTCTGCTGCTGCAGTTTGTTTCGCTAATAGCATTAAAAATATATATCCATTATGGGATCGGAGTTGTATCCTTCTGTCTGTTACACACTTTGCACAATCCGAATACATATAAGCTTGGGGAACTAGGTATACTCGTAAAAAAATTTATTTTTTGTGGCAGCTAAAAGTATGCTTAGTTTCTGAATTTTAAGAGTTGTGTAAGCGTCCACTGTGTTCAGCAACTATCAAAAAATAAAAGCTATATTAAATTAGTTCTAGTATTACTAGAAACAAAGAATATATATTCAAAAGAATTTACTACCTTGCTAGTAAGTAAGTTCAAAATAAATGTAAGCGTTTTTTTCAATATATTTTTAACGTTTTTCTTGTTTATATATTTTATAATATCTTTTTTTGGAATTACATAACAAAAACAATGTAAGTAGACAATTTGCTTGGCTCTGCATTCTATTTATGCGTATTTATCATTTCAAATAACAATGATTAATATCGTAGCCCAAACAATAAACTATACATACTATATGGAAATATTCGTCATGACAATTAAATTTTAATGGATTAAGAAATGTACATATGCATGCATGTATGTATTGACTAATTTGTCATGCATTTAAATATTTAGCATGTAGTTTCATTTTGACAATTGCACAAATTTATTGCTTTGACAGCTAAAATGTACTCGTATTCGAACTCGTACAATAATAATAATTATAATTATAGCCATAAAAATACACAAAAATGACATAAATAATTTGACTATTGACTAGGGATAAAATTTGTCGATTTTTCGATTTCTTGATTAACTTTGTGTAGATTTGCATTTGTATGTATCTAATTTGCTAATACATATACATATACATATATTTGGAATAATAATGTTTATTAATAAATAGAAATCCTTTGAATTTATTGCACTGGGCGTCTACTAAATAAAATTCATGTTACGGCTTGGCTAAGTTTTGTTTTTTCCAATTAGAGAAATTCTAGCGCAATTGTTCGCGAGATTCCTTGGCGCTTTAGTATAAGAGTAAAGGTATAAGAGTTTTCGCGTGCGTGGTGTGCGACTCAACTAAATGGGTTTGAGACTTCAATTGGTTTCAATCTTTTCTACTAACAGGCTGCTTCGTTCGATGATTGGCAAGAAAAGGTAACTTATGGTTTTAAATTTTGAACAAATAAATAAAAACGATGGAATATTATATCCTTTTTCAAAAAGGATGTGGTAAGTAGTAGAAAATTCTTCAGCTAAATCTATGTTATGTAAAGCTCCACACAGGCATTGCTCACAATGGGCGTGGCAGCGTCCTGACTGCCCGCCTTAAGAGTAGCTGTGGCATGGCCATGGTTTGTGTCTATACTAAGTAGATTTGGTGTTGCTGCCGTCTGCGTCGTTGGCGGCTCTTCAGATGTGAGTGTGGGCGTGGGCGTGGATGTTTGGGCAGGCTCCGATGCTGTTGCTGTTGCTGTTGCTACACCGTTAGCCAGAGGAGTAAGCACTGTGGTTGTGGGTGGGACGGGTGCTGGCACACGTGCGGGTGTGGGAGCGGGTCCGGGTGCGGTTACGACTGCGTACACATTTTGAGAAGGTGAAAGGGGCAACTTGTTGCTGCTCTGACTGCTGCTGTTGCTGCTGTTATTATTATTGGTGGTAGCTGAGAATTGATTTGGCTGTGGCACGAACGGAATGCTTGCAGCGCCGCTTTTGCTGGATGAAAATATAAGCCCGGCACCACTATGCGAGATGGTTACGCTTGGCGGTGAAAGAGGTGAGGCCGGGAAATTGGTGGCCAGAAAATCCACCGGATACTATGATATAATTCCATTTTGTTTATTAATAAAGCCAATCAAAACCTTAAGACTCAGCTGCTACTCACCATGGCCTGATGCTGTGACGGAGAATGTGCTGGTTGGCTGTTGTAGGTTGTGGGGGAGACGGGAGGACTCGGGTACGGCCAATAGACGAGCGATGGCGGATAGACGAGTGATGGCGGATAGAAGGCGGACGCTGGATGCGAGTGGTGGTGGTGATGATGGGGACGCGGAGAGGCTATCAGCGGTGGCGGTGGACCAGCCGGGTGTCCGCCATATCCCGGAAAGTGAGCCCCAAAATGGGCGCCCATAACGGTGGCACCTGTGGCAAGGAACAAATTAGCAACGTTAATATTTAATTCATTCGTTTAGCTCTCGAATCATAAAGGGGTATATAATTTCGATAGACAACTTGGTGAGTTTTTAGACCTAAACAATTTGTTTTGTTATTGGTTTTATATATTAGCTATATATTTATATACTTGAACTTTTGGATATTTGATTGTTTGTTTTATTGTTACTTCAAAGCGACACACAGCAACGCTTTGCCAATCTCAATTAATTTTTATAATTGTTAGTAAAGTCACGCTCGTACATTCCATTTTTGTTGTTGTTGTTCTTGTTCTTGTGATATGTTAGTAGCAAGTGAAAGTACACATATATGTATAGATAGATAGGTAGATAAGTAGATAGAAGGTATAATTGTATTCAAAATCACTCACCGTTTAGACATTTGCAAATGGTAGGAGAGACAAATATAATTTGCTTAAATTGTTTTTGTTTTTTTTTTATCATTTACCATTGCCCAACCATGAAACGTTTGCGCACATAATTTGCAAATATGTATTTCATTTACTTATTTTGCACCAAGCACCAACCTTTAGAAGTAAATAATAATATTTAGTTTATGCCACTGAGCGCCACACAGCTGGACCAAAAGTACAAACATCGACGATGAGGGAGAAATATGTTAAATAACCAACAATAAATATATATTATTAATTTATAGAGATTGTCACAAATACAACAGTAATACAAGGATATGGCACGCATTACATTAAGCATGGGTGCAGCGCCCACTGTGTTAGCTTCTTCTTGTTTTTATTTGTATTGTTCTTCTTGATTTGGTCGCTGTTTTTGCTATTGTTGCTGCTGTTGCTGTTGTTGTTGTCGTTGAGAATTTCCAAGCAAACAAAAAATATAGAATCGAGAGTAGTTACATACAAGATGCGTGTGAGTGGCACGTTTATATGAAAGCAGCAATTAAATGAATGACAATTTTAAAATGGAGAATTAAATGTACAAAATAGTGACTAATCGTTGACTAAGCTTTCTTAGTGAACAAGTTCGGCATTAAACTCAACCGATAGTTTTAGTTATAGCTATTTTATTTTCAGAACTTCATACAGACAAATCGACAGACAGACAGATGGACCAATGAATGGTTTGAATAATGTCAATAAATGCACTTAATAACTGCTTCCTATAAACGCACATAGCTAGTAGTATTAACTTATGCAGCGGCTTTACAAAGTTGGCTGAATATACAGTCGATTTCGAAAATGAAATGCCTGCAAGCTCGTAGTCTGCTTAGAGGTTTACAAAAATTTAAAAGCCTCTTCAAATTTCCAATTCTTACTAAAATTTAAACAGCTTACGAGCTTGGAGAATCAATCTCGTTTTTTAAAATACATTTTAACCAATTCGTTGCAACTTGTAATGCCGTTTTGAGAGCCTGCTTCCTGCACAGATCAGATGCGCTGAAAAAGTATATAGATGCGAATAAAGCTTAAACCAAGCCCATAGACAAATTACACTAGAGTTGAGAGAACAAATTTAGATCCGAACACAAAACGTAGACACAATCATTTTTTAAAGGCCCCTCTCAACCCTCGTTCGTACAAAGTACTTGGATTTCCCGATTAATATGCTAGCATAACCCGAAGTGATGATTTTTAAAATTAGTAATCTGATATTTTCAGCCCATTAAACAATTTTATTTCTTCGTTTTTGTTTTTTTGTGTTGCCAAAGTGGTTTCTTTTGTTTACTTTATATGGACAGATAATTTGGTGTCGCGATGTTTTAGAGTTAATGGGAATCATAAGATGATAGAAAAATAGACGTGCGCACGTTTATATAGCGGAGAGTAAGTTTATATAGCAAAATGTGTGTATATGCATAATAAATGTATATAACTATATTTATATTTATTATTAAAATTGCAAATATTAATCAAGATGTCTGCTATAACTAGTTTATAAAAAATGGAATATCAAAAATTGTAAAATTGCTTCTGTAAAAACTAATTATGTAAATAATTTTAATTTTATTTCGTTTTTTTATGGTGGTTGAGTTTTGTTTTCAATATGATGTTTAAACCAATAATTTGCTACCAAAACCCACTCTTAACCACACGAGTTTTTCATCTTATTTTTTTTGTTTGTCATTTAAATATTATTTGTTTAAAACCAAATATTAGCTTAATTTTATGCACGAAAATCTTTCCCATGCTTTCTTTATGATTGCAAACGCATTATTTGCTTATTCATTGTCAAAATTCTCAAGTAACGCGCAACTGTATGTTAGACGCAAGAAAACATAAATATTTAAGCATATTTCTTGTATATAAAAACGATCTAGAACGTTTGTATAAAAAAGTTGAAAATTTATGTATATTTCTGGTATACACTGCCGGGCAAATTTTCCAGAACTTTTTTCATTATAATCAGAATTCTAAGGATAAATTGCACAAACCTTGACCACAAAACGCACAAATATAGGACGAAATACGAGTGCTTCAGAAAACTTGAAAGCATTACCCGATTACATTGACATGTACAATACATACTTATGTGTGTGTATAATATATATTATATATTATATAGAGAAAGATAATTCCAATTACCAATAACCATCATTTAGACACTAGACACTAAAGCGATCGAGAGTACGATAAGCATTTTGACCTCCAGTCGTTTGTTACTGTTAATATAAATTAGTTATAACAGAGAACACACAAATAGTAGATTTTAAAAAAATAGTATGTCCAATTGCTTTCTTTTCCCAATTGTTCCAATTTGCGACTAACACCAGTTACGCACACTTAAAGATACTTGTAGAAGAAATGTTGGTATTTATATACTTCTATGATGTACATATACAAATGTATATAAAAAGAAACTATTGAATATTTATGAGATTAACGCATGTCAGTGGAAAGGTTTGTTGGGTTCAGTTTTTGTGTTTTGAAAATATTGTTCTGTGTTAAAAGTTGCTTTGAGTATAGAATTTCAAATAGAAATATAGCTACGCTATGCTTGGAGCGCAGGGCGTCTATAATGAACCAATTATTCTCCTTAATATATATGTGAATATATATTATATATATCGCTCATGCATAGCACAACCCAGCGCTTTGACCACACAAAATACACAGGAAAAGTTTTCTAATGCTAAAAATGTTTAACATTATATGTCGTATAGTATGTCATATATAAGTATGATTGTATGTATGTATGTATCTATGTATGAAACCAAATTATACAACTTGCAATTATGTATTAACTTAAGCTAAGTGTTTTATTTTTTATTCAATTGTTTCTATTTGCGTGGAAAATAGAAAATGCAGTAATTATTTCTAAATGCATAAAGTTTTGAGATTTTCCAATTATTTTTTGTGTAGTAGTTGTTGTTACCCATTAAACAATTTTGAATATACATTTGTAAACTTAATAGTTTTTATGCATGAGGAGCCAACACCTGACGCCATTCGTGACGTGAGCGCGTACGCAGATCTGTATGTAATTCCATAAACATATAGTACATACTTACTCTCATAAATATGTATGTATGTATGTATGTTGCGTTGGCTCATGTATGCGGATGTGTGTGTGTGTGTGCCATTGTTATTTAAAGAATTTACTTATGCATTTTGCTTACGTATTAAAATTAGATTGCACATGGTAAGTGGGCGTGGCTCACACACACACACACACATACATATTATTTTCCTTCATTAGCGCGCTCACCGCATGAATGGCGTTAGCCTCTGTTGTCGTTGTTGTTGTTGCCAAAAATGTATTGCAGCGAAAAATTTGAAAACTATGCAATACTTGGAAAATTGCAAATGTCGCACACAGACACACACACACATACGTATGCGTATTTTAAGTACAATTTATGTCCTTGCTTAATTTTGACTTTGCCGCTTCAGTGAATCACAAATAAACAAATAATGTTCTTGAATATATGCGTGTGTATGAGACATATATGCATTTAAGTGTGTGTGTGTGTGTTTGTGTGCGTGTGTTGTGCACTTAAGTCTTAAGCAAAATACTTAGACTAATGAAAAGTTCTTTGCTTTTCCATTAAAGCTTACAAATAAATTTACTAAAAAAAATAATTACCATAATAAACGAAACTAGGCGCTATTAAAGATGTATTGTATGTGTGTGTAAGTGTACGTGTGTGGATGGGAGAGTGTATGATTGTTGTGTGATATATATTATATGTATATATAAATTGCCTGCCAAGGCCACAACATCAATTATCTGTAAATATTGGAATGTGCAAGAAGTGACGGAGCTTATATTTTTAGCGACTGGGCAGCCGCCATGTCGTGGGAAGCATAAAAGGACAACTGCCAGGCAGTGAAGGACCAAAGCTGGCTGAAGCTATGGTCAGACATGCAAATAATTTGCGCACAAGTATACTTTAGAAACGAAGATTCAATGAATTTTGGCACGATCTTACGAAAGCCGACAAATTTCGGCCTGCCTGATCATACCTTTAGCTAATTGCTATTATTACGGGCTAGGTCTGGAAATAGAGTACTTGAGCAATTCTATTGAAGAACCCTTACATGGGGCAACTACATACGTGGATTGTAATAGGAGTACATGCCAGTGGGGGTGTGTTGGGTGAGCGCGCGTTTCGCAACACTGGCAGCTGTTGCAGCAGCAGACGTATCCTGCTGGAAGGCGTTGTCGTAGGAGCGCTTCATGGTGTGCGGCTGCAATGCGAGCGCTGCATTGGCAGCTGCCACAGCGTGCTGCGAGGATGTGGCTCCTGCAGCAGAGCCTGCGGCGCTAACACCGCTGGGCGTGGGAGTGCTGGCAAACTGATAGCCGGCGGCTCCTGCAGAGGACATGTAGCCCAGTGGAAAGGGCGGAAGATAACTGCGCGGCATCAGCACGAATTGGGGCTGACCGGCGGCCATGGCCATTGCTGCTGCCCCCGGATGTTGCATGTAAAGCTGATGATGCTGCAACATGGCCGCATTGGCATACAACTGATGCTGTTGTTGCTGCTGTTGTTGCTGCTCAGCGGCTACAGCGGCCGCTTGTTGGCGCGCCAGCAAGGACTGCTGAGCTATGTACTGCGCCTGCTGTTGGGCCAACAGGGCAGGATTGGCAGCCGCCGCCGCAGCGGCTGCAGCAACGGCTGCTGCGGCTGATTGGGAGGGCGGTGGCAGCGAAAGATTGAAGGGATACCCTTGTGGGGTAGCTAGGCCGGCGCTCGCTAGGGAGCTCATGGCAGCTGCATTCTGCAAAGAGCTGTGTGTTGCAGCAGCGCCAGGACCGGCAGATGGGGAAGAACCTAAGAAGCTAGTATTCAGACCAGCCGTCGAAGCAGCGCTCAGGGAGGCGTGCGTTGGCATCATGGAAGCGGCTGCAGCAGCGGCTGCTGACATTGGGGACGATTGCAAGGCATGATGTGTGGCTGTGGCATGTGCGGAGTGTGTAGTGTGTGCATGCGAGTAGGTGTGGGTGTGTGTACCGATAGCCTGAGCCGCAGACGGCGGCGGTGGCGCTTGTGCTAACATACCCGGTGAGAGGAGAGACGGCTGTTTGCCTACAGCAGCAGCAGCGGCGGCAGCTGCAGCGGCAACAGCAGCAGGATGTGCGTGGTGCGGTGGTGCCGCCACCGGTGACTGTAAGCCACCATTAAGCACCATATTCATGTCGTCGCCTGAGCATTGGAAGACCTCAATGTAGCGAAACTTTTTGCCAAAGACCATGAACTGATTGTGCTTGCGTTGGGCGCACAGGCGTGCCGAATCCTCCGAGTCCATTTGGATAAAGGCCTCGCCACTCGGTTGACCCTGCAAAGAGATTATATGAAGTATATTGCAAAATAGGACAAAAGGTTATTATATACATATATTCATATTCAAGATAATCTAATAAAGCTATTTAAAATATGACCTATAAAGTATATTGACTTCATGTATCTTGTGTAGATCAACTTAGGTATGATTCAATCGACGTCTGTCAAATGCGAGGTGTTTCTCTAAAATATGGAGTTGTTATTTCTCCACTAGTCTGTATTAACCGATGAGAATTTCGGTCACTATCCTAAATCCTACAGATTTCTTAACAATTTCCAGATTCTGTAGCTATGTGTAATTCCTAAAGGGGATGCTAAGCAATTTCGTGGCTGCATTCTTTCTTTCTCGTATAGAGAAGCCCTGAGTCACGCATCTCTTGCCAATTCGTTGGCTTGCCAATTCATTGGCATTTTAAATCCCAAAGGGTTCCACAATGAATGATAGATTGCTTGTCTCTCATACCCAATTAGGTAAACAAACGCAGAATTGTACGCACCTGAGCATTGATTACCATGTGAACGCCCTGGTAAATTATATGCTTGGCAAAGTCATCAAGAAAGTGGAGAATGTGCTCAACCAGCGCCTCGTAGGGCAGGCCACGCAAACGGATGCAATTCTTCGTTGTGCCCGAGGTAATAATGTGCTGTGGGTTTGGGTTTGGATTAGCAGCGCTTAGATGTGCTAGGGCGTGTGCGGCACCCACCTGCGGCAGCAGAGACAGCGACATGGTGGGCAGCTGCGCTATCAACGGTGGCTGGCTGTGATTGTTTGACTCGTACGTCTTGGGATCCATTGAGCGATTTAGCACCTGTTGTACTTCGGCAGTAGTGGAGCGAAAGAGCTCAATGTATCGCTGTCCGATCGACTCTCGATGTCTTCCTAAAGCCTTTGGGGCATCACTCTCATTGGCGAACAACACAAATGCATCGCCAGTGGCACGGCCATCTGGCTTCTTTACAAACAACACGCCCTCATTGCTGTCCAGCACATGGCAAGGCTGCTCTCCAGTTGTAAAAAAGTCCAGCTGCATGGATAGAGGGAAATGCCAAAATTAATAACTCTTTTACCTAAAGACTATAAAGGTTGTTCATATAATAACAACTGAAGTCGATCGAAAATATCGGCAATGTCATTTAGTATAAACAATCCTTCTCGTATTACTCTACCATACGTACCACTTGCTTAGCCGTACAGTCGTAGGGCAGTCCACGCATGCGTATTATAACTTGCGCTCCCTTCGATAGAAACGCCTGCGCCTCATTGGAAGCGCCGCCTGCAATGGCCAGAAAATCCTCGCCCGAGGCTCGATACACCTCGATGTACCGAGATCCAATGTGGTGCTTGTGCCGCTTCAGCGCCATGTCCCGATGCTCCTGTGAGACGAATCGTATGAGGGCTTCTCCGTTACGTCGACCCAGCGGCGAGAGGCACAAAGCAACGCCACCCCTAAGCAATATTAGGAGAGAAAGACAAAGAGCGGCAAATGGCATTGTTTAAATGAAATCAATAATGGATGAATATAATAGTAATAATAATTATTTTATAATTCTCTCCCCTCTCCAGATTTTCATCGCGACTTTTTTTCTGTATTGCATTTGAGTTACAATTCTATTCGCATTCAATCTACAAGTAGTCCGATCAATGTCTGGCTTTGTATAAATTAACTCTCCCGAAAGAGAGAGAGAGAGAGAGAGAGAGAGAGCGAATAAATATCTGAGAGCTTATTCCGTATAGTGTTTGAGTTCTCATTCATTTTCCATTTGTTAAATTTGAAAATATTAGCTTTGGGGATTCGTAACAATTTTCTGTTTAGGCACAACTATTACAAAAAATATCAATGATAGCGTAAATATATTGCCGTCGCCACGTAATCAGGCCATCCAGCTGACCTTATTATCAGCTTATCAGCTGTGGCCACAGAATGACGACAAGGCAGGCAACACCGAGCACCGATCACCGAGCGCCAGCTGCGATCATTGAGCACGGATAGCCGCTTCGCTTATCAATGGGTTACTTTTTGAGAAATCACTTACTTGGCTACGTTGAGTCCCCGAAAGAACTTGGCAATGTCCTGATCACTGCTCTGCCAGGGTAAGCCGCGTGCACGCACAATACAATTGCCGTCGATCTCGTCGTCAATTGAGCTGAAAGAAAAAATTTGTGGAATTTTGTGAAATTCGAGTATGGTTAGGCGTGCGCGGCACCAAGGTTAGGCTCTAGAAGTGCTTCTCTAAAGTAAATAAATACATAAGAGAGAACTAAGCTACACTTATTCTCGTGCATTTTACACACTATGCACAGTGGGCCAAATTCCATACGAACATACAATTATATCAAACTATATATTCTAATTTGTTCTTTAAGACTCTGTCAGCAGGGGGAGACACCTATAGTATACAGTTCAGACTTTTAATACTTTTGTACCAACTGTAATATTAACTGTAATATTCAAAGGACTTTGATGTCCAGTTACCTGCCACGCCTCTTACAAAGTTTTATAACTGATTGTGGCAAAAGTTGGGTGCCACAAAACTGAGAACGATTGCTCGCCATGGTACGCTGCAATCACAAACTTCGCTCGAGTCACGTTTCAATTTTTCAAGTTCCCTATAAAATATATACAAGTTGAGCGCGATACCGATACCTAAGCATTTCTGCTGACTTTCAAATCGCAAAAATATATTTCTTTCTTCTGGCATATGCACACACACAGACACAAACAAAGGCACACAAGTATGCAAAACTGTCGCACATAAATGGGCCAGGCAGCAAAAACAAATAAAAACATGAATAATCGTTTCCAAAAACTAAAAAAACAAAACAACTACAGCAACAAGAAAATTAAACAAAAAGGGGGAAGCAGCTGAAATGAAAATTCTGACAAATAGCTCTGGCTACCGAGCTTTGGCTCCCTCGGCCGTTGGCAACAACTGCATTTTCTCGTGTTACTAATTGAATATTTTTTATAGTGATTGCAGATTTACAGCCTTACCTCAGTCAATTGATTTACATGCGACAAAGGAAAAATCCACAAACAAATTCTCTGCACACAGGCACGCTTTGTTTTTATATATTTTCCGAAACGGCACAGCGATAAGAACTGACACTCGACGCATACATCAATATAAGATCCAATTCGATTTGTTTCAAGACGAGACGAGACGATGCGTTGCGGTGCGATCGTCCTATACAATATTTTGTTTTCGCCGCGTGTTTTCAAGAGGCTCGCGCACAGTACTCGGACAATTCTATAGCTCTTATCGCGGCTCGAACCGAACGTAGACTGACGACCACTAAAGTTAAAGACGACTGAGTAGGCGATGGCGATGGATACGTTGAATGACGGATTCAGCACAGCCATTGCCCCTCTTCTGACTGAGCTCGTTTTAGCTGAGCGTTTTATGTTCAGTTCAAGTCTATATACAAACACATATGTATATGAATTCTTAACGAGCGACTTCTGGGGCGCTCTCGAAACAGTAGAGCAGACCTTTGCCAAGAGTCGAAGCATTGCAGTACACTGGCGTGGAGAATGCGCTGAATTGTCTGAGTTGGGTTTGAGTGAGTTGGGGACTGTTTTGAGCTGAAACCCAAGCGGTGCATCAAATTGAACTCTTTATTTTCTTTAGTAATGAATCAAATATTCAATGACACTAAATCTAATACAGAATAATCTTGTCAGTGCATACTTATATAGAATAGCCAGGCAGATGATAAAGAACAAGTTAAATTTAGTTCTTGTGTTTTTCTAAATCTAAATTATTGTGACTTTAGTTTGCATTTGTCAAATTGTGGTTCAAATATCTCAGTCTAGCAATTTGAATCGCTATCTTTAAACTCTCAGTCAGTTGTTTCTATTTTTTATCAATCTTATAATCATAATATATACGTTCATATATATCTGACAATATTACGATAAACAACTCCAACACCTTTCAATCACCCCCGAATATCAATTTGTATTAATTCTAACATTTTTAGTATTAACATTCTATTTGTTATAATGTTAATTAGTTTAATTATGTTTAATTAGTGATAACAACGCTTGTAAAAATTATACAAACATAAAAAATTGATACAAATACAATATCTAGAAGAATCTTTTTTAAGCTGATTAAAATCAATTATGGAAATGTTCAAGCCAACATCAACAACTATTGGAGATTTTCTACTCGAACTGACAGACATATATAAACGAAATACTAAAAAAAGTAATAAAATAATCGATTGTATTGCTTCTAAAATTACAACATCTGATCCCCATTTAGAAATCAATTGATTTAAATATTTATTCATTAAATCTAACTTGACAAATAATTAATTGAAATAATTAAATTTATAATTATGATTGACACTTACCAAATTCCAGGTTCTAATACCAAGTTCACGAGCTCATTTGTGGTAAATGTATGGCCTGCAAAAATAAAAACACATGAACATTATTAGAAACGGTGAAAAGGGGTCGAACATTTCTCACTTACCCGCCTGGAGCAAGGTTTGAATCACAGTGACCATATCGCGTGACTCGCGGATATAAAAGTCATTATCCTCCACAGAAGTCGTGTTAAGTTCTATAGGGAAGTAGAAGAGTACAAATATTTTAACTAGATATCAATTGATCCATTTAATGACGAAGTACGAACCTTTCAGCATCTCACCAATGGATTGGGGGATGGGCAACGTGGGCTGTTGCATCATTTTCTTGATATCCTTGACGGGCACCAGAGCGCGCGACAAATCCCCGGAACTGTAACGCAGGAACTCCTTGCGCAGATCACTAAACTTATTGTAATATGCGGGTAAATCAATGTCTTTGGCGCAGGCCTCACGATGCAGACACTGACGCAACGGCAACTGGCCATCGGTGATCAGCTTGATGTCCGTATCAATGAGCGATAGAGAGCGTAGATATGCATCGAACTGAAAGCGGAAGAGTTAAGAGTGGGATTAGGAGTAAGTATTTAAGTAAAGTGCGAGTTTATTGCACGAATATCAGTGACTGTAAAATTTCAATTAGCACATCTCTACACAAAATGTCAAGCAAAGTTCAGCGACAACTTGTGATAAATTACATGGACAGAACACAGAGACGGAGGAGACAGAGCAGACAGAGGAGACGGAACGGAGGTGGAGCAGTGGGGAGAGAACATTAGTGCTTGACAATCCGCTGCAAAGGTTTGTTGGGTTAATGCAACATTTCTAGGTTAAAACTACGCCCCAATGCTATTTGCTTAAACCCGTTTAGTATTTGTTAGTAAGTCCAGTTCTGCCATTTATTGCTATGCTTAAAATGTTGTTGTTACTTGGCAATTATTGTCAATTAAATGGATGAGAAAACTCTACAGTATAATATATATGGATTTGCAACTTTGCCTTGTCATCGTGAGTAAAAACAACATGCAGCTTAATGTCATATTACATGTGCCCGTCGACTTTTGTCAAAGGCGCACAACAACGGCATATTTCGGACGTCCAAAAGATTATAGTCGCAAGTAAGACCCAGCCAGGGTTTCAACTTTTCCCCCACTGCGTTTTCATCGCCAGAATTTGCGTCTGGCAAATATTTACCAGGGCGCATTGCATCGTCTATCATTATCATAACTATCATCATCATTACCCAGCCAAGTAGCTTGGCAGGCCGTGTCAGACTCTCTATGCCTCTATAAGAGCCAAGCTACCTATGCATATATCTAATAGCTTTTTTTAACCATATTGACCAAGCAAATTAGTATTCCAAGCAAACAAGTGCCACACTCTCACTCTTCACTTGCGACTGAGCCCCGCATTTCACAACCCAGATAAGTCTACATATCTTGCGTCACAGGGTGCAGACGGATCTAGCGCGCCTGCATTATTTCCCCAGGTATTCCCCTACGTATTGCTCGCGCAAAGTTCGAAAGATGATATTTTAATTTATTATCTTCTAATGTTTATGGCTGTGCATATAAAATGGATGCACTATTAATGAAACCAACTGATAAATACATTAATGAGTACAGTCCAAGGAATGGAAAAGTTGAAGTACAGGGTTCAGTTGCGAACAAATTTTTATAATGAATTAACATATCATTGAACGTGGTCGTGGCGTACTTTCAACTTAAAGATACGATCGGCTTTTTTCGTAGAAAGGGCCCTCAATATTCTCGTCAAGAAATCCTTATCATGGTGACTCATTATGGGCTTTTAGATTGCAATTTGAATTATCACGCTGATAGTTGAACAATATTTCAATAAGTACAGAACGTATGAAAGCAAAACACTTATATATACGTTTTTGCAAAAAATTAGCGCCTGTACGATCTTCAAATGACCCACTATACATTTTGTTTCTTTCACGAAAGCATGAATCTCACATTTCCGGGCATTTCTATATGCTTGAGTGAAAATGGTCCGACGCGTCGACTTATCAACAGCAGATAAGATTGAGATTGAGCCTTGTAACCAACTTCCACATTCCACAGGTGGCTCAGTAGACGAAATAAAATGAGTGTGATTTTGTTTGGTGTGTAAGAGAGAGTGTGTGATTTTGTGAAACTTGTCAAATCAGAATGGACAATCAGAGGGCAATCAGGCAAGCGATATACGAAACACACAGGCTGAGCGCGTTGATAATCAGTTTGCTTTACTGACCTAACATTATTTTCTGCCTCTCCCCTTTTTGCTGTTGACAACTATCGGCGGTCCCGTAGGAAAATCACGAATCGTTGTGGCACACCCTCGCACCACACTTTACCGCGTGTCGTATGACAGAGGCAGTAGTACAAGTGCAGGCTGCTAAAAATAAAACTCTTGACTCTTTAGTGGCGTGCGTGTCGTTATCCCTAGCGTGTATATTCCATGCACAGAACGCTGTAGGGCCGGCACTTGTATCTTTGGCATTAAAGTAACAGCGGCTAAGCCTAATCTTATCAAATTCGGCAGTTAAATGGAACGCGATAAGCCTTTTGTGTGTAGTAAATATGTGATATTTTAATTTGGTTACACTCAAAAACAAAATTAAATAGTTGTGTAAATACGAAAAACAATCAAAAATAAATATTTCAAGGAAATTGGAAATTTTAACACATTTTGTGGCAGCAGGGAGGGGCTTTGTGGAATGAATGATCTACACATATTTTCTCAAGTCAGGAACGGAATAGTCTTTACATACAGTACATGTATCTATTGTTTTTGATTTATCGCTTGATATTGAATTTGAGTTGAATTCAAACTGAACTCAAGTAAACTCAAGTGCAATAAAATTCATTACAATTTTTTCATAAACGCCATCAGTGAATAGAAACTGTTGTCTGAGTGTACTTACCTCTTCGATGGCATCGATGAGTGGCTTCCCAGCAGCCTGAGCTTCGGCTATCGGTAGTATAAGTTCGTTGCTGTTCTCCAAGGTACAATTGTTGTTGTTGTTATTACTGAGACCATTGCTATTGGCAATTGTGTTATTGTTGTTTCCGCTGCTGCCGCTACCGCTGCTTGCTGCGACTGCGCTGGTGATGTTATTCGTTGTACTGTTAGCATCGCCATAGCCAATGGCTAATGGCGGCGAACTTGCCGTATTTGTCGTGGCATTCGAATTGTCCGATGAGCTGGATATGGTGCGATCCTTGATGAAGTAGCCATCTGGACGCACGAGTATTTGTTTGGTGCCAATAATCTGTAAGAGATTATCAATTATAAATAAATTACTTTCATTAAAAGCAGTAAAAATAAATAAACGTGACTTTTTCAAGTAACTACTACAATATCTCTATAATTTTCTCTCTATTCCAAATTTCGATGACTTTCAATAGCAATTTTAACTTCACCTTATCATTAGAATGGCAATTGATGAGAATCATTAATTTACACACCTGACGTTTCACTTATAATTGGCACACTAATGGAAATGGGTTTCAAAACATTATATACACACATTTGCGGTAGCATTTTGAAGACTATGAGTCATTTGTTTGATATTCTACCACTTTCAAGTTGTTTTAATTGTTTTAGCAAAATGTGAATCGAGTAGTTCCACGATACGTTGATTGATCATACCAATGGAATATATAGAAAGGCTCCATCTCATCGATTGGTTTATTACTTAATTGAAATTATTTCGGCAACTAACATTTTTGCATTGAGAACTTACATGTTACATGAAAATCAAATAAAACAAAAAGTGAATATCATTTACTTTTTACGCACAATTGAACACGACGCAGTCTTGTTGGGTCTGTCTTTGAAACTGCCCCCAAATATTCAATACCAGCTGTTTTCACATCGACACTTCGACATTGCCATTGCCGATCTTCAGCACTCGATATGAGCTTCAAACCCGAATGAAATGTTTATATCGTGGATACAAATACTGTAGCTTTATAAGCTATAAGCTATAAAAGTCAAGCTGAACTGGCAGTCAGCCGTAACATGGACGGCGACAGCGGCGTCATTATCAAATATATTTTGACTGATTTTTATGGCTTATGAATTACATACAACTACATACGAGTATGTACATATATACATCAATAGATATTTACGAATATATTAAGTGAGTGGGGGCTTAAATAAAATGAAGTTGCGAGTCCACAAAGCAATGGTGGTTTTAAACAATTTTATATTTATATTTTTTGATGGAAACACATTTAACATTTGTCTGATTTTTTCAATTGAAATCTTCATATACTAATTTCATCGCCGAAATAATTTTGGATACCTTTGAACTACTTGTAATACAGAGATTGATAAACGAATTGTTATTATCGTGCACATGTATGTATACCTGTATTATTATCACTATGCTTTTTCTCTGCTCTAGAAATGTGTGTTTTAATGTTAAATCGCAATTAAAATGTTTAATGTAGCGTCATAGTCATTTGGAGATTACCCAACATAAGCATGATTGGCATTAATGTGGTTGTTGAAAAACTATTAAATTTTTTGCACCTAAAATGGAAAATGTTTTCCACGTCTTATGAGATTGATGCCAATTTACTTACATTGGTACAAGACACAAGAAAATTCATATATATATATATATATATATATATATATATATATATATATATATATATATATATATATATATATATATATAAATATATATATATTTGCACATGTGTTTGAGCGTGTGCGTCTACATTCAACAATTGGCATGTTAATAACATGGTAGTTAATACTCGTATGCCAACAATTAAAGTTAATTAACATTTTAAGCAAAAACAAAAAGCAACGCCTCGCTCAAACACAAACACACAGCTGCCAGGCAGATATATAGAGAGACAGACATAGAGACAGACGGAGAAACTGAGCCAATTGTCAAGAGTCAGAGCAGTGGCTTAGAATCTTGGTCCAAATCTCTTTTTTTTAAATGCAAAAGCTGTATGGAGCAGCTCAATTATGGGTACGTAGTGGCGGCTATAATTTCTGCGTATGATTTTTATTTTAATTAACTTAATTTAGTTTTCATTCATAGACACGGGGCGCCACCGTCGCCATTCCCATCGCCAACGCCATCACCGTCGTCATTGCACTCATAACTGGCACACAAATGGCACGTTTTCATTGAGCTAGAAACCGTGCTCAATATACTGGTTTTTAATGGGTTAATAATGGGGCACCTAGTATTACTCGTAGTATTATTAGTCGTAACTATGGCAAATGGAAATTTTGCTAGACTGCGCTACAAAATCAATTAATAAAAGTAATTTCCCTTTCGCTGCAAACGCCAGCACAAACCGCACGAACCCAACGAAACCAAAACCCAAATGCAAACCCAAATGCACACTCAAACCCCAGCACGTTTCGGCCATTATGGGACCCTATTTTCGGACTCTGTCGAGGGGCTTTCTTTCGCACTGGCCGCATAATTAGCCCGTTTAACCCCACAAACCCGACTTGTGTGCGTAGCTGCCTGTTCTACGCAAACTTTTGTTGAATTTAACATGACAGCTCATAAATATTTCATACTTTTTGCAGCTGCATGAGCTAGGGGGGTAGAAAAATAAAAGGAACGATGTTGAGCTTTTGGGAAAAATACAAATATTCTCTATACATATATTCAACAGATATGCAAATCAAATGACGCTCTAGCTATGACTTTGCCGAAGGTGTCTCAGCTAAGTATATCACACATACAACAATAAAGAAGAAAACGGAAAACAGAAAACCGATTTACATACTTAGTTTTCTTCAGTTATCGACACATTTCGAAGCGATATTTGCATTGAGTCCAGCTACCTGTAGAACCAACATCTGAACTTAAGAATACGCAATTCTCGCATATCCGCTGACGCAAGCGCCTCGTACTGTGTGCTTTAGGGACCGTATATTTATAGGTCTCAAGATAGGAAACAGACACTGGAACCTTGAAATGAATACCTTCGATCTTAAATGGAAATAGGATGAATTACAAGATGATGCAGATGATTTCATCGTACTCTTCACCTCATCTTTAATATTATATAATATTACATTATTTATACATCCCATATGAAATATCGAGTAATATTCGGTGGAAAAATGAACGAAGCCGATCTTTGAATATCCGATTGCTTATAGACATACACAGGCGTCCGAAAACCAAATTTTTGGAAATCTTACGATAGAAAAATGAAATAAAATTATGATGTTAGCGATCATTTCTATGGTAGCTATTAAATGTAATGGGATATAACATATTTGGTTCGTATAAACTGCGTCTGAATGAAATTTGTCTACATACCAAGTTTGGCCCCCCTAGCTGTTATAGTAAAAAAGATCTACAGGCTCAGACGTACAAGCAGATGACGCAGATGGCAAACGGACATACTTGTAGGAGTATACTACTTGTATATATCTGTATCACAAATGCACTGTCTGCTACATTGATTCCAAATCCTTTTCAGTGCCCGAGTGTAGAACATAAAAAAGGTTTCGTAAATAATACAAATATGATGTGATCTAGATCAAATACTAATATTAGTGCACTTCTTAGGTCTTGAACTTTGAAATAGTATTTTATTATACTTCATTTAATGCGCGATTTAACTACACATTAACTTCTTGGTTAATTGAATTCTGTATTTTGTTATTATTTCGATTCATGCAATTACATTTTTGGGCTTGCAAGCTCGTAAAACAGTTGAAATTACTCCGAATTCTTTAGCTAATTAGTTTCTCTTTTCAATCTACAAAATTGACAACTTTTGGAAATGCAATATTTCTTTTCAACTGAAAAGTTGTATTCTAACTTATGATTATAGCATAAAAAAAGAAATATTGAATGGTAGCTTTTAGAAACCAGTTCTCAAACACTTAATCAGCGAGTCGCCGATAAAATGCTATCGGCAATGTTGGATTGAACAACCTACTTTTTGCACACATTCCTCTGCTGCGGGATAATAAAGAGCAAAATGTATGCAATCCGACACAATGAAATTTACATAAAGTTTGCAAAAAAAAAAACGATTTTTAATGATCTTATGTTAATAGTTCGCCAAATCCATAGAAAATTTGTATCTATACTATCTATTATGCTTAATAAAATACGGAAAGTCTTGACAACTTAAGGCTAGAGTATGCGCAGGCGCTCTACTAGACCAGTCAATTTTGGCATAACTTATATAAGTAAGCCCTGCTCAATGTGTCTAATTAACATTTAACAGTATGCGTTTGTGTATATTTTGAAATAGGAGAAAAAGAAAGAGGTAGCCAGTAAAAATGATCAAAATGGTCGTGTATCTCTAATCGAGCTAAATTTATCATTTTCGAAAGCCAACAACAAAGCTACTACCTCTGTGATATATAACTTTGACCCCAAAATATATGCTGTCGACATACGCGAAACATTTTAATGAAACCCTAATGATTGGCCAGACACTGTTCGCATGAACTCTGGCGGGGACTCACCAACGATAGATTAGCATACAAATTGAGCAGCAGTCGGCTGAATGGGCAAATGGACGAATGGACTAGTGGATGGGGGGCGAAGGCAGCAGAAAATCAATTTGCGAAAGTAAATCTTCATTTTCTGTTTTGCCATCTATTATGAGTATTTAAAATAAAATTAATAATATTTGAGTGGAAAATTTGAACAGAATTAGCCCACACTTTGGCTTAATTGGATCTGAGGAATCGTCTATGTAGGTACAGTCAAGACAAAATACTGCTGCTTCATTGATACTCTCTCGTAATAGCTGGTGGCTCAATGCCAGTACCTACTATTAAAAACCACTTAGAATCAACTTTTCTTACACAAAAACAGCCTCGAAGTGCATTTACGAAAATATTGCGTGTTTGTTAAGTCATAAAAATAACAACGGCCCAGAGACAATGTCAACCTGGCAAATATGTAGGCAAATAATAGATGATTGTAAATACTCGACGGGGTGTATATAATGGCAAGTAATTTCCTTCGTTAAGACGACTTGTACAGTAAGCGAAAACTAAATTTTATAGCTATGGGCACGGCACGGGATGCTTCGCTGTGTCTAAGCTAACGCAACACGCAGCTTTGACTCTCTGCCTCAGTCTCCAGAGAAACTGGCGGAGTATCGTCGGCGACGTCATCCAAACTGTGATGGCCGTTCAGATATTGCAGCAGCCTTTAGCCACAACCTCAGAGCTTTAGTATCGCCTCTAGTGGAATTGTGAAGCATGTGCAAATAATAGATCGTATTCAATGTGACAAGCCTGTCTCACTTAATATTATATTTGCATGCAAGTAATCCCAGCAGTTATACTCGAAATCTCACAACAAGTAAGATAAGCCGCAATGGAATGGCCAATTAGGTTCATTATGTAGTTTTTGTTCGATTCCTGCAATTTTTCACACAACACTACTCCAGATGCGCTGTCAAAGATTACCAAAATTGCAAATACATATGTATATAATTCTGATTTCTACCCCTTAAGCAAAGAAAAAAAGTAGAAGTTAAGGAGCTGTGCACCTCCATATGAGCACAGGAACAAAAGTTTTTCCATAACATACTTTGAATAAACTAGATTTATGCTCAAAATTTGAGAGTTATAGTTGCAAAACATTTGCAGCTACTCTCTCAAAGTAGAACAATTTCTTTTCTTCAATACGATATCCAAATCCTAACTGGGAATTTATTTGTTGTTTTTGTTTTTATTTATTTCTGTAGTTTTGTTTATAGTGATGCTCCTTGAACAAAATCCAAAACGCAACAAAATTTGTATATTTATAATTAGTTGGAGGAAATGTGATTTAGCAAAATTGTCACTGGCTTCGAGAATATTTTTGGAGTTTCCGAGTATGACGAAATTTTGTTATGAAGGTATATTGCTTACGTTTGACAATGTTGCCCTTACCCTCGACATTTTTTCGTCATTTTCAAACAATTAGTGTCAATCACTTGGCAAACTTGGTAAAATAAGCAAATACAAATACATTTGCATACTTATGTACCCTTATTCATGTGAATATGTATAGAGGGCCCCCAAAAGCGTCATATAAGCCCAGCAACAACAACAATGGCACCTCATTTTAGATTGCCTCTGTCTTTGTTTTATTTGAGCGACGAATCAAAGTCGAGCTGCACGGCCTGCCAGTTGCTTTTGTAACATAATCACAAATCGCGCACGCCGCTCCAACACAGTTTAAAGTGCATATTGTTTATACTATGTACTATATACATATATGCGTGATTGTTGTTGCTTCAATAGCTATGAGGCGCGTTATCGCACAGCATTCATTAATTAAGCGTAGACGGCGTTGAAATAAAGCGCGCCAATCAACAAAATGGAGGCCCAAGTAGGCGGCGCTTGAACTCAAGCTTCAAACGGTGCACATGAGTACAATTAAGTGTATGTGTGTGGGTAAGCTTTGTGGCAAGAGGGTGTTACCAAGGCATATTGGCGCTTTGTTATCAGCACCACTCATGTGCGTATGCTGTTATTCTAATAATCGACGACGCGTTCATATAATCATATTTAGAGCAATGCTTTGAGATAATAATTATATTGCGAGAGATACTATATGTACGCGTACTTGGCGTTTTAAACATGTCAGCCCTTCTTCTTTCATTGGAGAGAAAAATCATAAAATAAATGCCCATTTGAACTCCAACACTTCCTAACTACTTGTAATATACATGAATATCTTTCTAACAAATTCAGTTTTAAAGCAAATCTTTAGATAAATTTTTTTTATTTTAAAAAGTAACAAGATCTTTGTTCATCGTATCTATGTAGGTACTTTATTTTTCAAGGTAATTAAATACTTTGACCAACCAGACAGTTATTATCTGGCAGAGGGCAAGTACTTTTAATTTGTGGTTTCTATCAATTCGACAGACAAATAGTTAACACACAAATTTGTTATATATCAGAAGTGTGTAATCAATATGATGTTTTTTCAATCAAAACCAGCCAGAATTGTGGAAATTAGTAGCATGTTTGAAAGGAGCTTTAGTTACTGAAGATATACAGCTGTTATTTGGACATAATAAAAAACAATTCAAACCTGTTTCTTTTCTTAACCATAATACTCTAGTATAATTTACTCACCTGCGCTGTTGCCGCTTCGAGCAGCACATAGACGAGCAATATAATTTCCTTTTCATCTGAGCCAAGACCGGGTCCATTCTGTCCACATGTGGCTATATACAGCGAGACGACGTGCTCGGGCACCTGCATTTTGCGTCCAGTTATTTTAACCCGTATTTCAATTGAGTTTGCAAATTGTTTTTGAAACTCAGGCGACTGTTTATTTAACTAAAACTTCTCAAGTGGTAAACGTGTCTCTTGTTTTGTTGTTGTTGCTGTTACTACTGCTGATGCTATGTATATCCACTTGTTAACCAGTTCTAGACGACAATATTGTTGATGACATTAATGACGAAAGCAGCATTGAAGCGGCCGGCCGCTAGATCAGAGTGGCTCCGTATGCTTTCGAGTGCCCACAAGGTGGTTGGCGGTACTGCGACTTTCGCTTGCCGTTCCCATCTAAAACATTTTGCGGATGCGCGTGGGTCCGGGCGTTACGTCTCACCGTGCTGCAAAGAGTAAAGCGATTTGGTTAAGGCAAATGCTTGGACTTGGAACTGGAACCGCTGGCAAAGTCGCTCATTGCCACATTTTCATGGAACTTAAAAACTAATTACATTTAGGAAATGTCAAACAAATCGAATCGGTTTTGTGTACATATGTTGGGTCAAAGTTGATGGTGGCTTGAATAAAATTAGCCACGCAAACACAAAAATGAATAAAAAGCAAACTGAAGATGAAAATGAAAATGCTCGACTATAGTACATATACTCAAAACTTGTGCTAAATGTGGCGTTGCCAATTGTTGTTGCTCCACGCGTGCGACATTTAAAAGCCTCATTAAGTACTAACATTTTCATTACAAATCAGACTCACTTCTAAAACTGACGACATCGCCCTATTCGACGATTTCAGGAGGTCAAATTGAAATTATTAACCCGCACAGCGATTTGAAATTTAATTTCTGTCAGGTAGCAAGCAACCCGTCCGACAAGTCTAGAAAAAGGCAAGCAAGAGCTTACAAAATTACAACGACTTCGTCGAAAACTAAAGTACAATTTCATGTGAATTTTAAATGCAAAAAGATTTACTCGCACTTTATATTGAAAAACGGACACAGCTAAAGGGGAACACTTTTATTTTATATATGTACTATTACTAATTCATGACTAATGTTTTTCTAATACGAAGGAGGTCTTTTATTAACCATCTTTAAAATCTTTACAAAATTTAATAATTTAGCCGAATTTTATAGTAAATAAGTAAAAGTTGAACCGTGAAAAAAATACTTTTTTGTTTATGTTTTTCTATTATGCAAAACAACCTGTGTTGACTTGCTTTATTGAGGTTACAATAATCGAAATACTGTCCAATCCTGCTCCATGTGCGTAAACACTTCGCATAAAGTGCACATGCGAAAACCAATTATGATGAATAAAAAGTGTGGATGCAGTTTTATATTATAATGAAAAAATAGTTCAAAGCATATAAATGTAATAAATGATGAATTAAAACAAAAAATATATACAATATGATGTAAAGGAGCCAAAATCCTAAGACAGTTGACAGTTAAAAAGAAACTTCAAACATTATTAAATATGGTTCATTTACATAGTGCATGGTAATTGAAAGAAGCCGCGGGCAGGCATGGGTTAATCATGACGCGCAGACGCATTGTTGTCGTTAAGCACTCTTTAATAAAGCTTTTTTGATGCAATTAAAATTTTTAAATACGTGTAGAAAATATTTAATACTTATATACATACATAAATAATAAGGCCCGCCAAAAAAATGTTCAACTTTTGTGACACTTTTGTTTAAGTCGAGCTTTGTTTTACGTGTTAACTCTGTTGTTTTACTGTCTGTCGGGCCCTGAACAGTTCGTTAACAATTCATATTGTTTAAGAAAATTGTCATTTCTTCTCGGTTGATTGTGGACTTTTTGTTGTTGCTTTTACTGCTTTTGCAATCATTTTCTCCAGATATTACTTTGTTTTTATAGTTTTACTGGACGAATGGGTGAAGGGGCGCATGAAGAAAGTGATGTTTGGATACTTTTTGTTTTTGTAAGTGATAATGGTAGCGAGTAGTTGCGGCGAAGAAGCTGACGCTTACCACTTGGCCAACTCATGGCGCTTACTTTTTGTCTTTATTTTTTTACATTTAATAACAACACCATTATCCATATGAAGCATTGCGATATCAGTGTGAGTTCTCACGTTATTGAAGACTGCTTGTAATGTCAAGCAGGCTGATAAGTTAATATTAGGAGCGATTGAAGACTAATTTACTACTTTTTAGTCTAGAAAAAGTCATATCTTTAGTGCCGGAAAAGACTCCACACACTATTTTTGAACACCTCATGTTGGCAGAACATCTAAGGGATAATGAAAGAAACACCGGGTATAGTTTTTATTACGCTAAATGCAGCCTGCCGTTGTTACATATTTCCACAAATGTTTTTCTTTTGGACCTGAACAAAAAAGCGAACGCTATTGACCTTTAAGGTTAAGTGCCCGGAAACACGAAGTGCTGTTGACAAACAACGAAATATTGCAACTGAAATAAAGTATGTGTGTGTGTTTTCGAGGAAATGGAAAAGGTTAAGACCTATGCTCAAAAAGTATATTTGTCTTTATACAACAATTATAGCACATTAAATTTTAGCTTTAAGTATTATTCGTTTACTCCTAAAGTAGATGAAAACTTAAAAGCTTGTAAAGCCATTTGTAAAAGCCACAGTAAACTAGTAGTTTAAATATTCCCTCAAAAAAGTGAGCTGCTGAAAGAAAAGGAACAAGCAGGATTTTTCATACTTAGGATAATATCGTGTTTAGCGTAAATTTTATTTTATCTTCCTCATGAATATTAAATCTTAGGGTTGAACATTATACTTGTATATACGTTTATACTTAATAGTAAATATTATTATATGGCGTGGCGTGTCTTAGGTCCGACTAACCATCAACTATCATTGGTAATCAAAATTTTGAAAATGCCGAACTAATCAGTATAATAATTAATTGTAGAAAACGTAAATAAACATGGATTTTTAGAATTTTCCTATTTGATACCAACATTTAGTTGCAGTATTTGGATTGGATACAAATGTATCAAAATGAAAAGCAACAAAACCGTTATGTATGAATGTATTTGTTTACGGCGGCATGAATCATAAATTTGAGGCCCAAATTAATTTTCCCTTTCGGCCAACAGTACGTGAAAAGCGCTGAAGCGGGCAGCCCAAGGTCTACAAAAAAGACATTTTCACTGAACGGAAAAACCGTAAGCCACCTTCAAAAGTGACACATATTTCTTTTTCTTCTTTTTTTCATTAATGAATAACGGCAAGTGGCAGTTGGCCGCAGCCGTAGTCGTAGTCGCGTCTTTGCTTAATTAGCATCATGAGCCGAGAACGGGACATCATTAAAGAAAAACATAAATCCATGATCAAGTCATGGATGCGTGTAGATTTCTCGGTGGCCTCAAAACGGCACACGATCGCAAAAGCGTTTCGATTTAAAAAAGACAATAATCCAGTGATTAAATTTAAATTAGTGACAGCAAAAACAATAATAACAACAACCACAAGCCTGTGACTGAATTTAATAAATATTTCTTGCTTTTCTGTCTGGCGATTGGAAAACGAGTAAGCAAAAAATAAATAATTACACACACATATGTACATACATATAAGTAAGTATGTGTGCAGCTAGCTACCTACAAATTTATTGTCTTTTTTGTTTGGCTTAGTTTTAAAATTATGATTTACGCAAGCTTGCAAATTGTTCCTGCTTAAAAAAGTATGTGTGGATGTATATAATATATGTATGTATGAATGAACGGCTCTATGTATGTATGTATGTATGTATATGAATGTCCAACTTTCTGTTATTGGTCTTGCCTCGCGGCTTAAATGCAGACTGTAACAAGAATGAAATAGTCAAGTAGATCCGACTCTCACAAACCCTGTATCATAAAACAAAATGTTTACATTTTATAAATTAAAAATACATATGTACATACGTATATACATTACATACTTATAGAATTAGATTACATTTATGGCTTCAACTTTTTGTAGAATTCATAAGTACATATGTCTCGATTAAACTATGCGCACATACAAAGGCATTAACAGGATATAATTGTAAAATTCCAGGCATTACTAAAGTTATGAAAAAATAACTAATATCGTGGATGTGGGAAGGTCCATCAATATAAATCTAGTCATGCTTAGAAGGTTGATGAATCTAGCTCGTACACCTTAGAGATCTTTGCCTTCAAACAGACGGATAGTCGGACGTGGCTATATCAATTACTCTTGGTATGTTGATGAAAAATATACATACATACACATATGTACATATGTATTTTTTGGTGCCTGCCACGATGGGTGTGACATACATACATTCTCCCTTAACTACATAGTATACCTTATAGCCTTTCGATGCAGGGTATACAAATTACGAAGGAAACTTTAGCTTATGATTGCGCAAATTGCATGCAAAAAAATACCAATTTCCAAAGCTATTTACAATAGTTTTAGTATGTAATGCTGTATGTTGCCGCTCTCGCTCTCGCTCTCTCAAGCTCACGCAACAAGTGCAGCAACAGCAACAGGTTGCATTGGTTATTATTTTTAGTTGTTGTTATTGCAGCTGTTATAGCTCTTGTGGTTGTTGTGGCCAGCTTGTGTTGATTTCTTAGTTCTGTTTGCGCTTCGCTTGTCAACATTAGCAGTCAAATATCATAAAATACAAAGTATGAACTATACATATGTACATGCATATGTACATACATACATATGTATGTATTTAGTAGTAGACGACAAAAACGAGTCTTGAGACACACAGCAGCCGCAGTTTGGACATGAAGTTGGCGTAGACGTCTCTGCTGCTGATCTGTCTGTGGCTCTCTTCTTTGTAACTGTAAATATGTTTTCACTTTGTTATGTTTGCGCATCGGCTTTTAACTTGTCTTATTGGTATGCACACACACATAATTATATGCATACATACATAGATACAGTATTTAAATGTCCGCACATCCATTCATTTTGCTCATTCATACCGCCCACCGCAAGGCTATGGGCCACAAGCAATTACTTGCACAGAAACAAATTTCAAAATTTGGTCAACATTTTTACAACTTACAAAAATAATAACAACAGTAGCGCCGAGTGGTTTTTTTTACAGTTAGGTGAGTATGTGCAACAGGTTGTCTACCTGTTGCGCGCTGCTGCTCTCTTAACTGTTTCTTCTTTCACAATTTCTTTTTATTGCACTTTCTTTTCTTGTCGTTTAACGAATTTGCAGTATACACAGATTCGAATATAAATGCACACGTTTATATACATATGTATGTACATAAGTATTAAATTTAACAAAAGTGCAACGGGCAGCAACGTCTTTGGCTAGTCACACTGACTAGTTAAGTTTATGCGCTCGCTTTACATTACGTTTCTTAGCTTTGTCTTGCTTTTTTGCTTTGTGCCGTTTGTCTTTGTACGACGACCGATCTTCAATACCAACAAAACGTACTAACGGCGACAGCGACGGCTACGACGACAGCGGCGACGTTTTCAACAACGCGACAGCGCAGCGCGTACACCACCAACAAAATAAAACAAGCCACTTTTTGCCTTCTCTCTACCGTTATTGCTTCTTCTTCTACTACCACTTTGACTTTGTGGCGTATGTATGTGTGGCTGTTTCTTGTGTCTTTTTGCTGTTTTTTTTTTTGTTTTCTTTCTAGTTTTTTGGTACGAACGTACGGAAGAGTATACTTTGTGCCTAGCCTTCTCTGCTACGTTGGACGCGTGCGGTTGTCTCCAGGTTAAAAAAGCAACTGATCGTCGTCGTTGGCCACAGCCACAGTCAGCCATGAAGGTGAGTGAGCTGCGCTTGCTTACATACATTTGAGTCCATGTTTCTGAATGTGTGTGTGCGCCAGGTACTAAACAACATGACTTGTTGTTGATTTTACTTAAAAAGCGCTCTCTCCCACTCATTCACAAACTCACTCACTCTCCACTCATTGCAAAGTTACCTGTTGTTGGTGTATATCCAAACGAGATTCCTACACGCACGGCACTAACATAAATATATGTACATACATACATATAAACATTCGTATAAATACCTTAGTATATACATATGTACATATGTACATGCATATCTATATACATACATATGTATAATTAATTAGCTAACAATTATATTCGCCAATAGACTTGCGCCCGTTGGTATGCTGCATTGAGAATAAAAACTGGACAATTCCATTGCCCGAATTGACAACATTCCGGTTCCTCTCGCTGTCTCTTCGTTGCAGTTTGAGCCAAAGATTGGAGTCAGTGACGCCACTGTTTGCATTGTTAGTGTAATTTTCCCACGCTAGTCTCTCCAAAGAAACACACACTCATACATATTTATATATATGTGTACATACTTAAATACGTATGTAAGAAGACAACACAGTTACGCTCAATGAGCAAGTCAACTCATTTATACACATTCATATTTACTCTCCAGAGTTACCTGCGCAGCGACAACAACAAAAATCCGTTCGCGCAACCCCCGCTCGTACACACCTGTACAACATTGCGCCGTTTATCGTCGTATACGTACATTCATATGTGTATACATACATACATATGTATGTATGTGTGTCTTGTTGCTGCTTCTTCATTAACTACCAATAGAACTGCCTACGTACCTGCTTGTCTTTTAATTGATCGGCCATTTCATGGCACTGTATTTTAAAATAAAGAGAATTAACTCTACTCCAGTAATTTTCGTTTATATTTTCACTATTTTATAAATATTTTCTATTGGAATGTTTTAGTTTATCTGCCACTGCGTTACCAGCAACGAAACTCCCAATAGCGGCTACAAGACTAACTGGACTGAGCAATCTAAACCGAATGAGTCGCCGTTTTGGTCGAAAAGAGAGCACGTTTTAATGGATCTGTGTATGGTTGTGTGTGTTGCCTTACCTGAGCGGGAGAGAGTGCACAGTGGGCAAATATAGGTTTTTTTATTTTGTTGGGACTACGAACCTGGCTGGCACACATTTAATACTATAGTATAGTATGAGTCAAACGGTAAATTAAAGTTGTAATTAAAATAAATGTTTTATTTTTTGATTACATATAAAACAAATACAAAATTTGACATAGTACATACATATATAGTAAAACATTTAAATATAAGGAGCTATTACAAAATGATTTCGTTTTTGAAACTGCGACTCAATTCCTTGTGCGGCAAAACAATGCTATTCAGCAGAATCTTCTCGGCGGGTATTTGCACAAAGCAACCTGACATGCATAGAAAGAGATAAGTCAATGAAACTTTATATCAATAAAATAAAATTTAATCAATAGCAATTCATTAAGCAGTTACCATTACAACGCATCCTCCATTTCAATTCACAAAACTTACCCAGGATAGTTATAGAGGGATTCAGTTTGCCCTCATTGTTAAATAGAGGAGGATTTTCCATTTTGGCAAAAGGCTTGTTTGGATCCGGATCGCTGGGTGTGCCCTCCACACGTGCCCAAGCCCCAATTGTGGATCCGCGCCCCACAATCGAATGTAGTATTAGAGTGTGATCCTTGATTTGAGCCTGCTCTAGGATAATAGACTCCCGTATGCGCACACCCGGGCCAATAGTGACGCCCGGTCCAATTGCAACATTAGGACCCAACTGCAACAAAAAGATATCTTGAATTAATAGCTAATCATCCTAATGGTAATTTTCAGTCACTCACCACCGCTGAGTGGTGCACAGTGGCACTGGGATGCACATATACATCTGGCAGAATAGTACATATTAAGTTGCCATCGCCCTCACCCCGCTTGGTACCCACATTGGCTAAACGTTCCGGATGTGTTTTCTTGTACAATGCCAAATAGTGACGATTGGCGTAAATGGCCGAGCCGGCGGTCTTCAGTTGTGACCACCAGTTGGGCACCGGCATGGCGTATAGCATGTCAGTACCAGCCAGGGGCGTAAGCACCTCTTGTTCCCACTTAATGTGCCCCTGTTCCTTGCCATTACCATTACCATTACAATAGCTCACACAGCTGTATTCCTCGCCTTTAGCGTGGAATATTTGAGCCAGTTTGGTGAAAATATCCATGGAGCACACGTATACACCACAATTGATATATGTCGAGACATAGGAACTGGGCTTCTCCACATAATGCGACACTGCACCACTCGTCCGATCGAATACGAGGCAGCCATAGTGCAGCGACTGCTGATGCGTAGCCTCCGTACTCATGATGGTCACCAGTGCGCTGGACGGCCGTTGCGTATGGAAGCTGTACAGCTCCTGCAAGGGAAAGTCGGCGCAAACATCGCCGTTTAGCACGAAGAAGGCGCGCGGATTGCCGGCACGTATCTGATCGCGAAAGTGGTACATGCCGCCCGCCGTTCCGAGCGAGGTAAATTCTTGTAAATATCTAAAACGAACATTTTAGTAGCATGCATTGCTAAAGTCGCCGAACTCACCTGATGTTGATGCTGTAGAGATTTTGCATGTCGCCTACAAATCCCTCCATTTGTGACTGTTGGTAGTAGCCAATGATAAGGATTTCCTTGAGCTCGGGCAGCTGGACGCAAGCTTCAATGTGATGCTGAATAATTGGCCTTCCAGCTACAGGAAAAAGCGGCTTCGGCGTATCCAATGACAACGGCCGAAAACGGGTACCTTTTTGCGGTCCGCCAATCAAAATAATAGCCTTGAGCATGGTCTCGATTAGTTGTGTGTGCCGTTGCTAATAGAAAAACCCAAATACTTTTACTATTTTATATCTTATCTATGTCATTTGGGATTTGTGTTTACGTTGTCACGGCAGTGTTAAGAAGCGTGGAATAAATCAGCTGACTGTGCCCGGCAAGGCTGCCACTTGAAGGCATTTGCGTATTGGCATCGATATATCGTTGGCGATGCCAATGAGTTGCACTTCTGCCTATCGCTTATTTGTCATTCAAGTAAGAAGCAGCAGCCCGAACCCAAATGCTATGTAATTTTCGCAAATAGCTCTCGCAAATAACACTGCAAATAAGTATTGCTTTCACGAAAGTTTCTCTCGAGTGCAACGCGCCCCAACATGGCTACAGCCGAGCAGCTCGTGGCCCAAACTCTGCAGGCTGCCACAAATCCAAATCCCGAAATCGTTCAAAAAGCCGAAGCACAGCTGAGCCAATGGGAAATAGAACCGGGCTTCTTTCCGACCATCGCCCGGCTAAGCATGAAACTGTCCAGTGGCGGTGGGGAGAATGCGACTTCCAACATCGCCTCGGACGAAGTCAATGTGCGCTGGATGGCCGCAGTTTATTTAAAAAATGGGATCGAAAGGTACTGGCGTCCGAATTCCCGGCAGGAACTGTCCGCAGAGCAAAAGCAGCAAATCCGAGATGTCCTGCTTCAGCACTATGATGCCGAAGACGTTCCTCAGGTGGCACTGCAGGTGGCGGTATTGCTGGGTCGCATTGCCCGGATAGATTATCCACGGTTCTGGCCAGACTTAATGCCTGCGCTCATGAAGCAGCTTCAAGCATGTGGGAACGATGGTTCAGCGGAGCGACAACGGCGCATCCTATTGGCGCTACACTATGTGATCAAGGCGCTGGCGTCGCGTCGTCTGATGGCTGAGAAGCGCGCCTTCGAGGAACTGGGCAGCCAAATCTTTAGCTACCTCGCCTGGGATATTTGGAGCGTGCTGACCACGCGCTTCCTGCAGCTGGTTAAAACGGCGCCGGAGCCAGAGGCGCTAAACTGTCTCCAACGTGTCTACATTGTGATGAGATCGCTGCGGAAGTTGGCAGTCTACGGCTGCGCCAAGCCCTTCAAATCGACTGACCACATGAATTTCATAGAGCAGTTGTTTTCCCAACTGCGTCAGTGCCTTGAGTTGCGCTACGAGCTGAGATTGGCGGGGCGGACGACGGTGGTCGCAGAATTGGAACGCTTTGTGCTGAAAATGATGAAGACGCTCAATGAGTTTATGGAGCGGCATTCTGTGTCCTTTGCGCGCTTTGTTCCAGTGGCTCTGGACTTTAGCTTTCACTATGTCTTCCACGAGGGCACTGCCCTTATTTTTGATGCCGGAGAGCACATCAACTTTAGCAACTTTGCCATACAAGCGCTCAACATGCTAAAGGGCATTATGATGAGTGGCAATGATAGCATATCGCAGGATTCGACGACCAGTGGAGGTGCTTCTCTGGAAGACGAGCTGTTGGCAGGGGCGGCGCAGGCGCAAACGAAATTCTTCACCTGGCAGCGTATTACGTACATCTGTGAGAAAATTGTTACTCACTATTTTCTACTAACACAGGAGGAGCTGGAGGAATGGCAGCAGGACCCAGAGGGCTATGGACAGGACGATGGTGGCGGTGACGCCTGGAAGTATGCACTGCGTCCTTCAGTGGAAACACTCTACTTTACGTGCTTCACACAACACTCGTCGGTGATGATTGCCGAGGTGCTAAAATTTGTGCGCAAGGCTCAGCAACTGGAACTGAGTGCTGATTCCGATCTGAAAGCTATACTGTTGAAGGATGCCATATACAATGCGGTGGGACTGGCTTCGTTTCATTTCTTCAACAAGCTGGACTTTGGCGCCTGGCTGACTTCGCAGCTGTTAGCCGAGCTGCGCATCGATGCGCCCAATTTTCGAATATTGCGTCGTCGAATCATCTGGCTGGTAGGCCATTGGGTTGGGGTCCAGCTGCCGCGTGAACTACGGCCAGTGGCCTATGAAGCGTGTCTGCATCTGTTGCGCCCACAGGAGGACATGCCAATCAGATTAGCTTCTGCACGCACCCTAAATGTGCTCATCGATGACTTTGAATTTGCTCCGGAGGCATTCCATCCGTACTTCAATGCATTATTCGATGCCCTCTTCGTTCTGCTGCGCGAGTCTTGCGAGTGTGATACCAAGATTGTTGTGCTCGCTGCCATGACCCTTTTAGTGGAGAAGATGAGCGAATTTATTGAGCCACAGGCGCTGCAGTTTATCGCCTTTTTACCGCTGCTCTGGAAGGAGAGCGAGGAGTACAACATGCTGCGTTGTGCCATTATCAGTACATTGGAGCAGCTGGTGCGCACCATCCGAGATGTACCAGAAGAAATGAAGCCATTCCTCTACAGCGTTATCGATCTGAGCACAGATCTACAGGTAAGCCTCACCCACAGGCCAAGTGCAGACATCTTAATTAATTATTAATTATTAAATGAATTTGTTGCAGCAACGCTCTCATGTTTATCTCATCGAGGACGGCATCATGCTTTGGGTGGCTGTCATTGGCAATTCCACGGTGCTGACCTCTGAGCTGTTGGCCCTCTGCGATCACCTGTTGCCCATTATTGAGATGTCCTCTGAGAATTTACGCACCGTATTGCAGCTAATCCATGGATATATACTTCTCGATGCTCAGGCCTATCTCACACGCTATGGCGAGAGCTTTGTTAGCTATTGCGTGCGCTCCTTTGAAGACATAAGGACTGAAGGCATAATAGCAATGCTGCGCATCTTCGAGACTTGTCTAAAAACTGACGCGACAATGGGCCTGCGCCTCGTGCGACCCGCTCTGCCCTTCATCTTCCAGCAGGTGTATTTGAAACAGGAGTATCCCATGACCATGGGCTGGTATTTGACGCTTGTGGCGCGCACGCTCCTCATCGATCAGTCTGTTTTCATGTCTGTGATCCAAGAGCTGCAGAATTCGGATGCATTGGCTGTCATTCTGGACGTTTGGATTGAAATGTTTCCCCTTGTGCCCGACACGCACGCCGAGAAGCGCAAACTCTTCTGCCTCGCGTTCGCCTCCATTTTCGGGGACAACGAATTGCTTTTGGCGCGGTTTGCGCACATCATGCAGTTAATTGACGAAACCCTGGCGGAGGTCATGGACAAGCAGTACGCGGCCACCGAACAGGACCTCAACGACTCTGGCGAGGCGGCCACGTTGGCTACGCCCCGCTACTACGACTCTCTGGTCATCCACGACGAGCACGAGCTGGACGATTTTCAGCTGTGCATCGAGGACTTTCACTCCAAAACCTATCACGATGACCGCCACAGGCAGCTAGTGCTCAAGGATCCAGTCTACAAGATACCGCTCACTGAGTATCTGAAATGGCAGCTACAGACGCTGCAACAACAGTTGGGCGCTGAGCGTTACGAGCAACTTCTTCGAAATGTCTGCCCCGAAGTGCTGGAAAGGATTAACATGTATATCGAGCAAACGGTGCCCAAGGCGTGCGTTGTGTGCGCAGGAAGTGGCGATGATTCCGGCGCAGGAGGCGATCAGGCGGACAATGCTCCCACGATCGTTTGATGAACGTTACCAAAGTTGATGATGATCACGTCGAGTCAAAGTTACACACACAGACACATACCCACGTGCGTGCCGTGTTTGGCAGGCGCTTGAGAAGCTTTTTACGCTAAGTTATTAATGTATTTTGTATTGAAATTATATATTTTTAATTGTTTTCCTTAAAGCTCGTTTCCCTTCACAATAGCTGCTGTTAACCGTTAGCAAGAGGGATAGAGAGCGCGAAGCGAATTAAAAATGTGGAACTTGTGTCTGTGGCGTTGCCACACTGCTAAAATGAGGACAAAAAGCTCATTGTTGGTTGAAGACGGTTAACTTTAATAATTATTTGATTAATTCTATTGCCATGTGTTAATCTACTGCTGGTCGTCGCTCCATTTTACCACGCAGCAGCGTTTTTATTGTCTCATCCTTTTGCTCTAGCTTGCGCCGCATTTTCTCCAGCTCCTCCAGATTCCGCGCGTGCAGGCCGCGCAGCTGCGACTCCTTGTGCTTGACCAGCACCTCGAGACGACGGACTGCATCGTAGGTGTCGCGCATCTCCGCATTACCAGCCTCAAGCTTTTGCGCCCATTGAAGGGCAATACGTAGACGCGCCTTCAGTCGATCCCGGGCATGTTTTGCCTTCTCTGTACTGCGTTGCAACGCCACCGCCTTCTGTTGCATTTGCTCAGCGGTGTTGCCGCTCGTGGCCAGCTGAGTCTGCAGGGCATCTCTTTCCCGACGCATCGTCTCACAGCGGGCCTCCAGCTCGGTGCGCTGAGCCTGCAGTTCGGCGTTACGCATTTGCAACTGCTGCTGGTCCCGTGCATGCTCCAGCTTGAGCTGCTCCAGCAGCGCCTTGCACTGCTGTACTGCCTCCGCGTCGGGCGTGGATGCCTGCGCATGGGCTGCACTCTTCAGTGCCGCCAACTCGGATTTGGTGCGTGCATATGCAGCCTGCAGATGGTCCATGTCCAGCATTAGGGTCTGGACGCGCTGCTCATAGCAATGCATCACCTCAACAAGCTTTTCCTTGGCCAGATCGGTTTTGCGTATCTGTGTCTCGGCCTTGTCGCGGCAGACGCCCAGTTGTGCCTGCAGGCATGTGCGCTCCTCCCGCCAGCTGCCCAAATCTCGCTTCAGCGACTCCTGCGCCTGCAGCAGCCGCGTGTTCTCCTCCAATGCTCGCTTCAATTCCGCCGTAAAGTGGTCGAAATCGGCTCCGTACTGGGCAATCAAAGCGTCCTTATCACGCAGACTCTCATCATAAGCAGCCAGCAGCGGAGCCAGTGTCTGGGCAGGCAGTGCTGTCCACTCGGATTGGTTAATACTGTGGCTAGCTGTAGCTACACCCGCTGCCGATTCGTCTCCCTCCCTATTCCGTTGCTGCATTTGATCCTGATAGGATTCGATTTGCACATTCAGCCTAAAGACCAGCGTCTTTAGCATTTCCACATCGCTGATTAGCTTCTTGTTCTGGCCAATGCTCACCCCTAGCTTCTGGGTCAGCTGTTGGCAGCGGGCGCAATTGGCCACCTGCTGTTGACTCGCTGCCAGACGACGTTCCAGCTGGGCACTATGCTCGCGCAGCTGTTCATTCTCAGCCGCAAATCTCTCGTTGTAGTTGTGGACCGTCGACAGACGCTGGAGCAGTTGCTCCAACTGCTGGTCCTTGGCCTGCAACTGACAGAAAGCTGAATGAGTTGGCAAGGAAGAAATATTCCGACACTTACCACTCCATTGAGCGTGCGTTCCTGCTGCTTCTTTTTGCCGCTGCTGCCCGGCTGCGTCTCCTGCTTGTTTCTCACCTCCACCTGGCAGTCCACACTGCGTGATCTGCGATTGAAGTTCCCTGATATCGTCTGCAGCACCTTGCGTTGTCGCTTCGGTTGTTCCGGCTCACGCTGCTGCTCCGGCTGACTATCATCCGTCTGGTCCAGATCCGTGATCATTACGCTGCGCGTCGACATTATTCTTCGAATTTTCTCCTCATTAGCTAAGATTTGACAGACAGTTTTCCTTTGCTCCAACTGTCGAATCTCACTGACTCGTGTTTTGCTTTCCTTCTTCCTGTTCTTTTCTGGGCTGTAAACAAATGCAGGTTCGTCACCTGCACCCTCCCCCGTTACCATGGCGGCCACGTAGTGTTTGACCCTGTTTTGTACACACCCACACACCCTTCAGCACATGAAGTACACTTAAAAGAACTAGCAGTTAGTTTAGATGCATATATTGGAATTGAACGCAAATTAAATATGAAATCCGATTTGAGTTCTCTAACAGCATACCATTCATATTACAAAGTTGCGCTTGATCTGATATTTGTTATCCAGGCATACCCCATTTTATAGGTAATCGTACTCCGTCTGTTGATAATTCTAATAACTGTATAAAACCATTTTTATACCCTGTACCCAAAGGGTAAAAGGGTATATTAGTTTTGGGCGAGTGTGCATGGAACACACAGAAGGAGGCGTGGCAGACCCCACAAAGTATATATGCATGTATATTCTTGATCAGGATGACAAGCCGAGTCTATCTCAAAAAGTATAAGAGCTAGAATAACCAAACTTGGTATCCAGATTCTGCTAAGCCCGAGAAAGGACGAGTTTGTTCATTTTTTCTGATGCACTCCCCCCCCCCCCCCCCCCCCCACCTACCCTATTCACGAATTTCTATAACTCCCGTAATTCTTAGAATTTTGTAGTAACACGCAAAGACACGATGATGTAAGTGTATGCTGTTAAAACTGTAGATAAACATGTCTTCTGTGTTATTTATTAATGAAATTAATTAATTCAATTTTTTTTAATAATTTAATTTTTAAAAAACAATATAATTTTTTTTTTTTTTTGTGGAGAGTACAGGCTATTTTACTGTCGGGCTTGCGCGACTGTAGCGTTCTATCTTGTATTATACAATGCTGGGATTCGAACTATCTCTTAAGGTCCAATAAATTTTATTTTTTAGTGCTATCCGAGGCTTAGGTCCAAAGGTAATTCACCGGTGAACCCTAATCCAACACTTAAATTTCACTTCCCTTGTACATGCAGCACTAGAAAAAATGTTCATGAATAAAATCGGATGACTATTTCATATAATTCTATATATTATAGCTTTAGGCAAAGCGCTTATTGCAGTCAAAAATGCTTTCGCATTTTATGATATATGTATGTATACTATATATTAGCAAAGTTCAGTCACTTTGAATCAATTCAATTATAACTATTATTGGAGTTTTACAAAATATTGAATCTATTAAAAACATTTTTAGACATTCAGAATAGGTGTAGTGTTCCTGTCATCCATTACAGACAATACAATTTATACGTTAATTTTTTTTTTGGGGGATGGTTAATTAATGACACCCCTCATGCGCTACGCCACTGCTTTTTTTTTCAGAAAGAGCGAAAAGCTTAGCAGTCTACGCTCTTAAAAAAGCGTTGAGAGATTCGGCAGTTTTTTGGGGGCGGATTTGTGCATCAGAATGGCGCGTCGCGTATCCCTGCAGGTGGTTTTGACTTTCACTTTGCCATTTCTTCAACGACCATGAGTCAAGGACCCCCAGGTGGCCCCTCTCGAACGGGCGGGTGAGGGGTGCGCATAAAATGAATGCCGAGCGGCATTGGTGCGGACACGGTGGGTATGGTGCGACTTTTTTCTAGCTGTTGTTGTTGGGCTTGTTGCTCGACATTTTCAAATTCCATTTTAATTTTATGACCAAACGCGTTATGTTGATTGCAATTTTGCATTCAACTGACGAGGGGTTGACCCTCGTTATGCTTACGACTTCCTCTATAGTTCGCGGCTTGCCAATTGCTCGGGTTTCCATTTTCTGAGCTCACCACAACAACAACGACAAGGACAACACCGGAACAGCAGCAACAAAAACATTAATCAAGCTACAGCAGTTGTAGCGTCTGTTTTTCATTCTCCCACTTTGCTTTTCATCAACACGATATCAATATCTACGAGTATTGTGTAAGTTATTATTATTATTATATTTACAGTTTCAGTGCGGCTGGATTTATGATGAAATATGATCGTGCTATTGCACGCATTAATGCCTATTTCCATTTTGCAGGTATTTTCAGCGATTTGTCGCCAATTTTAATAAGGAGCGGTCAATTCACAGATATCCGATTATATTTTTGTTTTAATGTAGTGCCATAAAGTTAATGTTACTTGAGTCTTTAAGCGTCCAACTTGCAAACATTTGCGTTCACTCGTTTGTTTATTCCAATATTTGGCGTGGTTATATATATATTTATGTATTTTTTCTTTTTGGCTAAACATTTAAGTTCAATATTATTTGTTTATTATCACAGAATATAGTTGCTTGTATTCTGTAAACAAAATTGTTATTTTTACACAATAGATACACCAATAATCCAAATAGTGCGAATTACAATTCTTGAAATACGGGTGCATCAGAAAAATATATAAATTTGTCCTATCTCGGAGTTAGGAAAATCTAGTAACTAAGTTTGGCTATCCTAACTCTTATACTTTCTGAGGTCCTTTTATTGATACAGAAAGGAAATGTTAAGACCCAATGGTCATGAAAACTAAAGTAAATTTAAAATATCATTTGATTATTTAATTTGTCATATATTTAGCTGAATTTAAATATAATGCAATACAAAATACAACGAAGCCAATCAGAAAGTCGAGTTGAAAATTATTTACGAACGATGCGTTCTTTGCAAATGTCACGGAGATTAAATGCCCAACTGTTGGCAATCAATTATAATAAATGCAAATGAACGATTGTCTGCATTCCGGCGCTCATGAGCAGGCGCATTCCGAAGGTCCATTACCGAAGCTGCAGTTTATGGCGGACATAATTTGGATCTTATTGTTAAACATTACTGCTATTACAGCAGCAGGACAGCTGTCCATGTTTTTTTTACGCAAATCAAATGCCGTGCACAGTGCAGCACAATATCGACAATACTATACACACTATAATACAGAAATCAGCGCTCGACAGTCCTCTGCTGTTACAATTAAGAGCATTCTGCTGGAAAATTAAATTCAAATACATACACACACGAATACAAATTAAAATATTAAACACACTTCTGGAAACAAAATCGTCGCGAATATATATAAAAAAAAAAAATACACACCACAATTTGCATAACCATTGTAACTGAACAGCAGCAAATAGCCAGAGGGCTAAAGGGACAGTGGGTCAGTCGCCCCATTGAGCTAACCGTTTAAACTTATTAACGTACCCATTTGGATAAATCCATCGTAGATTCCCGACTGTTTAAGCGCCCATTTGGTTGCCAACCCCAAACAACCAGCTAGCAAAGGCCCAAACTCGCAAAGTCGGAAAGTCCCACCAAAAATCAACGATGACCCCAGCGCCAACACCAACCACCAACCAACCACCATCCCTACACTAATAACGATTACGACCCCAACACGACATCGTAAGCGAATACAAAATAAAACCTTGACGCACAAAATTCGCCCCCAGGACTTGTCCGTGACGATGCAACAGTGTAGAATGCTTTATGATCGACCCAGTTGGAGGACGATTGGGCGGCGCAGGAGCTGTGGACACACCAATCAGTTAACAGTTCATTTGGCAATGGCCGTAACATTGGCTATTGTGGCGTATACGCAATGTTAAGAATTTCAGGAGTGGAAGAAGGGTAGAACTCTGGCTCGGTGCAAGTGCAACTATTGGGTTGCTCGAATAGTCATGACTTGTGCTTTGTCTGCTTTTCACATCTTTATAAAGAGCATATATATTAATGAATATTAAATGGTCCATCACCCATTCTTTCTTCATAGATAAATCAATTTATATCGGGCGGCTTTCCTTCCTCTTTGTAAAAGCGAAAACGCAAAAGTTAATAACTAGCAAAGGTGAACGTGAAAGGTCAAGCAATTGCAGTGGGTTCCAAATGACGAATGATCTTCGATTGACTTCATTTGTTGCTTTCTTGGTAGCAATCGAAACAATAATTCCACCATATTAGGAGCACCACCAATCTCGGATTATTTTATTTATCAATTTCTTAAAAATAACAAGACCTACTGCAAGACTTTCATTAAGAACAACATTTTTACTACCATACCTTGCTTGCGTTGCTGCACCTTTAAAATTTAATTTTTTTCATTCAATTTCTTAGCCCCTCGTAACTAAGCACATTTCTCATTAGACCATTGATTTGCTGTGATCTTTGTTAAACTTCTTCAAGCACAGAATGCATTGTAAGGTAGACTTACAAAATTCGGGAAGTTTCTGGTATGTTCCTGATCCGATGAGTCGAGTAACAACAATCCTGGAACCGATTTGTACAGTATTTTAATATTTGAGCTCAATCGCTGGAAGGTGTTTTATATGTAAGAGTGTAGCTTTTTAAATTATTTACAAGTAGATGATATATAGTATTTATAGCAAAAACATAATTTCGTTGATTATTGAGTATTTAAAAGAATATTGAATAAGTAAACAAAAATGGTTTCAAATGAAATTCAACTGGAATTCAACAGAAATTCATTTATTCAGAGCCCATCAACGTCATTTGTGTACGTTCTTTTCTAAAGAATTTGAAAACGGTTTAACAAAAGCTGATTCTTATGAAAACAATTCTATTGCTAGTATGTAGGTTTCTCGAATTTCGAATTATATATTTTTATCACAATTTCACTAATCGTTCTTATCCTTGAACTCGATGTACCCCACTACCAATTTGTAATTGAAGGAGATTTTTGTCGGCATTACCTCACTTGTATGCATCACGGCTGTAGCTTTGTTTGGCCCTAGGCTTGCATATTTTGTTATCGGTTTTAGACAGCACAGGCACAAGGCTCACATGCTCTTAGGTGGCTTGTGTGTGTGTGTGTGTCACCAACTTATTGAAAATTGCAAACGCATGATGATGAAGGCCAAAATGAACTAATCGCCCGTGCTTGGTCAGAGCTTGCGTTTCTAGCCACACACCCCCCTTTGATAGCACGTT